GTTCCCATGTTCTGTTCGAACAACTGCTTCTTGGTCCAGGTACAAATTCCTCATGAGCACAATTAGGTGTTCCAGAATACTCTAACTTCGCAATGCTGTCGGTAGCTTCTCATGATCCACACAATCGAAAGCCTTTGTGTAGTCAATAAAGCACAGGTAAACAGCTTTCTGATATTCTCTGCTTTCAGCCAAGATCCACTGGACATCAGCAATGATAACCCTCATTCCACGGCCTCATCTGAATCCAGCTTGAACCTTTGGAAGTTCTCTGTCAATGTAGGCTTGCAGCCCTTTCTGTATTACCTTTAGTAAAACTTTTACACACATGGGTTATTAAAGATATTGTCTGATTATTTCCAGATTCCGTTCGGTCACCTCTTTTTGGAATGGGCACAAATATGGATCTCTTCCAATCAGTTGGCCAGATAGCTGTCTTCCAAATTTGTTGGCAGAGATGAGTGAGTGCCTCCTATGCCGTCACACTTTCTTGAAAGATTTCAATTTTGATTCCATCAATTCCTGGTGTCTTGTTCTTTGCCAGTTCCTTCAATGCACCTTAAATTTCTTCCTTCAGTATTACTGGCTCGTGATCATATGCTACTTCATGAAATAGATAAACATCAACCATTTCCTTTTGGAACAGTGACTCTATGTATTCCTTCCATCTTCTTTTGATGCTTTCTGCATCATCCAATAACTTGCCCAGAGAACCCTTCAGTAATGAAATTCAAGGCTTGAATTGTCTCATCAGTTCCCCCAGCTTGAGAAATACTGAGCGGATTCTTCCTTTTTGGTTTTCTGATTCCAGATCTTTGCACATTTTGTTGTAACATTTGACTTTATATTCTTGAGCTGACCTTTGAAATTTTCTGTTTAGCTCTTGGACATCCTCATTTCTTCTATTTGCTTTAGCATCTCTACGCTGGAGGGCAAATTTTAGTGTCTCTTCTGACTTCCATTTTGACCTTTTCCTTCTTTCTTGTCTTCTAAATGACTTTTCGCTTTCTTCCTGTATGATGTCATCCCACCACTCTTCTGGTCTTTGGTCTTTAGTGTTTTAATGTATCAAATTTGTTCTTCAAATGATCTCTAAATTTCAGGTGGGATATATTCAAGGTCATATTTTGGCTCTCATGGGCTTGTTGTCATTTTCTTCAGCTTCAGTTTGAATTTGTATATGAGCAATTGATGGTCTGTTCCACAATCTGCTCCTGGCCTTGTTTTAAATGATGACAGGGAGCTTTTCCATCGTCTCTTTCTGCAGATGTACTCAATTTGATTTCTATGTATTCCACCTGGTGAGGTCCAGATGTACAGTCGTATCTTATGCTATCTAAAGAAGGTATTTGAAATGAACAAATCATTGATTTTGCAGAATCTATCATG